CAATTGAGCCTAATGTACAGAATTCCAACAAAGCAAGTGTTATTAAAATGTAAACAAGTAATTTCTTTCTTAGTACATTTAGTGTCCTCATATGTGCATGTGTTTAGGGCAGGCTGGTTGGGATAGGCAGCCTATCATGGCTCTTATCCCGGGAGAAAACGGATTTTCCTTTTTCAACAACAGTTCATTGCCCTTAGCTGTGTTTTATTTTTGTTATGTACTTCTGTATTTTCAGCCAACATGAATACACTACTATATTTAGTTTATTTAATTTTTAATATTTTAACATACTATCTCTTCACTTCTTGCTCTGAGATAAGACTAATTTTCTTTTACACTCCCAAAATAGTTATACCTGGCTTTTTCTTTGAATAAGGATTACATTTTCTGTGTTGTAGTTTGAATCTGAAATATCTGTCTAAAGGCCGGTGACTGAAAGATTTAGTACCTACCTTGGTGCTTTTGGGAGATGATGAAATTGGATGAGGTGAAGCATGATGGGAGGTCTCTGGGTCATTTTCTCTGTGGATGTTTGCAGAGCAGCTGTTGAATTCATGCACACTTACCATCACCACGAGCTACCTTTGCTTCTACCAAGAATCACAACTTTGGAAGCTCTTCTGTTTTCTCTTTGAGATTTATTGCCTTGCTTGAGGAAAAATATACAATACATCTCTCAGAATGAGAATTCACTGGACTGTAACTCTTAAAGGTGTCAGTTTGGAAACACTTTGTTCCTCTTTCTCATTTGATTTGCCTAAATATGGACTTGTAACCAGTTCTCTGCAGGATTTCCTAGAATCAAGTGTCACATGAAGTTCACATAGCTCTGACGAATATGTGCTTATCTTCCCCCCCCTTTCTCTTTGAGTGTTTTAAAATTTTATGCTGATATGCTTTGATGAGAGGCTGTGTTAATTTCTTAGAGTCGAATGTGCTTCATCCCCAACAGGGCCTTTCAAAGTCTAGACTCTATAAATTCTGGGTACTTAAAAATAAAAAAAAAAAGTTTAAAGTTTACTTATTTTTCTTTTGCTGTGTTTTCTCTATCTTTTCTTCCTAGAATTATTATTATTATTATTATTATTATTATTATTATTATTTTAATTTGAAGGAGGCTTTACTTAAATACTGGCCAGATGGAAGGAGTCTCGCCAGGTCCATACCAGGTTCCCACGAGTCACACCTTGCAGAGGCTTAAAAAGGCAATCAACCCCACAAGGCCACTATAGTTCCCATCAGGTCCAATCAGGAACAAGCATATATCCCGATGTATTTTCTTCCTACTTACCTTCCACCTACATGCAGTCAGGGACAGGTGTACAATGTGTACATCCTGACATATTTTCTGCCCACTTACCTCCTGCCTACGTGTGATCAAGCACATCTAGTGCAAATGGGTCACACAGACATAGGACAAAAAGAACTTATTCTTCACTGCAAACAGAGCTCTTAACCTGTAAGGTGTATTTTTCCTGTTTTGGTCTCCCATTAATTTGCAAGGTGTGTTGTTCTTGTTCCCATTTTGGTCTCACAACCCTGACCACCCTTGAGTGGTATTCTGAGTCAAAGCATTGACTCTGTGATGGGTACCTGTTTATATTGGGATCTAACAGCCCTTAATGGTACCCAGCTTAATAGTTCCCAAGCAGGAATTACTAGTTGGTTAAGGCATTAATGATGCAAGATTTAACAGTAATTAGCAAAAGCAGAAGAGCCAAAGGGTCTGTGATGACTGACATCAGAGTTACTGTCTAGGAGGAACTTGGAAGTGATAATAGGAACTAGTAATTTATTTCATGTCAGGTCACCCTCCCCCTTTCTTTTGCAATTTTTTGTTTTTAGTAGGTTATCTCTAATGATTCCTGAGTGGTTTGTATAGAAACAACAATTTTCTTTTACAGTCATACAATACCTCCTTGTTCTACATAAAGCAGGTTGAGTAGAACTATTTTAGTAAATTAATCTACCTGTTGAGAGATCCAGGCCTACTTTCTTCATATGCCAATGGCACTATAGGTTGCCATTTTGTCCCCTATGCCAGGGAATTTCCTTTTGATCTAACTTGTCAACCAGCTGGGGACAAGGGGTGATATAGTCTCTTCTGTAATTGCTTCCTGCTGAAACTAGGGCTTCATTGTCAGGGCCAGAAAGCTGGAATGCTAGTTAAAGATCAGGAAGGATAGAATTCTTTATATTTAACTATCTCTTCTCCTGCATAAATCCGCTATTTTCTTTTTTAAATTCCTACTTTTAGCTCTTTGAACTTTGGTTTTAAATGGTTTCCTTAGTCTTACTGTCCAAATATTATACTGAATTTTAAAAATTCATTTTTCTGCTTTTGCCATTTTAATTTTGCAAATTTTTAGGTTGTTATTTTCTTTTTGTCCAGTTGAAATAGAATTTGTCTTTGCTTCCTGAATTCGATAACTGAGAATTTATCATTATTGCTTTTGTTATTTTGTATGTGCATGATGTTCATGTGGGGATGCTTACATTTCACAGCATGCATATGGAAGTCACAGCCACTTGAAGAGTTAGTTCTCTCCATCCACCTTTATGTGGGATCTTGAGATGGAATTCAGGTTGCCAGACCTACTGACCCAGCAAACACCATTACCTGCTGAGCTACCTATCAAGAAGCCATTTGCCAGCCCCTCTCTGAGAATATTTTAAGTTCTTTCTGCTCCCTGTATGTTCTCTATTAATTTGTTCCTTTAAAAATAATTGTGTTGGTTTGCTCATTGCATTAGAGATATTCTTTATAAAACAGCTGACTCTTTGTAGATATTTATGCTGAGAAGAAACAAGGCAGTTAACCTACTGTCATGTCAACCTTCAATCAGAACTCTTTGAGGAGTGAGTATCAGACTTAATTGATTAAACAAGTAACTAGTTTATTATTATTAGTTACATTTTATTAACTCTGTATCCCAGCTGTATCCCGCTCCCTTATTCCCTCCCAATCCCACTCTCCCTCCCTCAGCTTCTCCCTGCCCCTTTCCAAGTCCACGGATTGGGGAGGACCTCCTCCCCTTTCGTCTGACCCTGTTTTATCAGGTATCTTCAGAACTGGCTGCAAAGTCCTCCTCTGTGGCCTAGCAGGACTGCTCCTCCCTTGGGGGGTGGGGAGGTCAAAGAGCCTGGCATTGAGTTCCTGTCAGAGATAGTCCCTGTTCCCCTTACTATGGGAAACCAATTGGTTATTGAGCTACCATGAGCTTTGTCCAAGCAAAGGTTCTAGATTATATCCATACATGGTCCTTGGTTGGAGAAACAGTTTCAGAGAAAACCCCTGTGCCCAGATTTATTTGGTCCTTGTGGGGCTCCTATCCTTTCCATGTCATCCTAACTCCCCTTCGGCCGAAGGTTTGGTTATGAGTCTTAGTATCTGTTTTGAAATGCTGCTAGAGTCTTTCAGATGCCTTCTGCGGTAGACTCCTGTCATATGTCCAATGAATATCCCATTTGTCTTTCTAAGTGAGAATTGATCATCTTACCCTGTGTCTGCTTTCTTGTTTGTCTTCTTTAGGTGTATAGACTTCATTATGTTTATCATATCTTGTAGGTCTATATAAGCGAGTATATACCATGTTTGTCTTTCTTCTTCTGGTATACTTCACTCAGAATGATCTTTTCTAGATCCCACCATTTGCCTGCAAATGTCATGATCTCCTCCTTTTTGATTGCTGAGTAGTATTCCATTGTGTAAAAATACTGCAATTTCTGTATCCATTCCTCTGTTGATGGACATCTGGGTTGTTTCCAGGTTCTGGCTATTACAAATAAAGCTGCTATAAACATGGCTGAGCAAGTATCCCTTTTGTGTACTTGAGCAAAGTTTGGGTATATACCTAGCAGTGGTATAGCTGGGTCTTGAGGAAGCACTATTCCTAATTGTCTGAGAAAGCGCCAGATAGATTTCCAAAGCGGTTGTACCAATTTGCATTCCCACCAGCAATGGAGGAGGGTTCCCCTTTCTCCACAACCTCTCCAGCATGTGTTGTCACTTGAGTTTTTGATCTTGGCCATTCTGTTGGGTGTGAGGTGAAATCTCAGGGTTTTGATTTGCATTTCCCTAATGGTTAATGAGGTTGAGCATTTCTTTAAATGCTTCTCTGCCATTCGATATTCCTCTACAGAGAGTTCTCTGTTTAGCTCTGTTCCCCATTTTTTAAGTGGATTACTTGGTTTGCTGCTTTTCAGCTTCTTTAGTTCTTTATATATACTGGATATTAGCCCTCTGTCAGATAAAGGGTTGGTGAAGATTCTTTCCCAATCTGTAGGCAGGCGTTTTGTTTTGATGACAGTGTCCTTTGCTTTACAGAAGCTTTTCAGTTTCATGAGGTCCCATTTATTGATTGTTGCTCTTAGGGCCTGTGCTGTTGGTGTTCTGTTCAGAAAGTTGTCTCCTGTGCCAATGAGTTCTAGGCAACAAGGAACTATTTCCTTATAGAATCTAATCTCTAATTGTTTAATAGCTTTGTGTTCTTGCTTAAAGCTTGTCACTCTCTGAAGGAATTACTAAACCCTCTAGTCTCCTTCCTAAGCTTCCTGATGGCCTCATAAGGGCTGAGTGAACAAAGGAATCTGGGCCCTCCTTTTGGGCATTTGTACTTTGTATCTTCCTCTAAGATCTTCAGGGTGTTTTTGAATCCAGAGTCTTCTGATCCAAGAGTCATGGGCATGAATGGGAACCAGAGAACACTTCTACAATGTGGGAAATACAAGGTGCCTTGGAGTACAACTGCTTCATTTGAAGTTAACCTCTTCTTTTATATTTATTTCACTATACCTACAATGCAGACATATCTAGAAGGTCTGGTTCATAATTTTTATCTCATTATGGGTAGGCTATGAAATGAAAATAGGACTAGGCATTGAGTCAATGAGTTAATAATGGCTTCATGTATATTAATTTTGTTATCACTAATGATTTGATGCTTGCCATCCTCTTACTTCAGGACTAAGTATTGAACTGCTACTCTCTCCACAGCATCCTGGAGTCCATTTTCTCATACAGCAATAATGTCATAGATGCAGTCCTCAAGTTCACTGTTGTTTGGTTTCATTCCTGATTGTGAACTCACTAGCTATACCTTCTAAGGCCTCTTTTGTTTGAAGCTGGTAAAGAACATGGATGCAGATAAGGTATGCAACAGGGCTTTCCTTCTTGACGAGTGACAGAATGCACTAGAGCTGTCTATTGGCTCTAAGGAGTCTTTGGTTCTGGCTCTCTGTCATCAAAAATGTAACCTTATGATAGTCACACTGTGAGATGCCTAAAATGCCAAATTTATCCAGCCCCAGAGCCTAAGCCTCTTGTCACAGCCCCCTCACTTATTCCTGTCTGTTTTATTCCTCCTCCAATAAAGGTCATTTCCCTCTCTTTATTTCTGTTATGTACATAAACACAACATACATCTATGTAACAGAAGAACAAAGCATAAATACAATACACTATCTTTACAGAAAATGTAAATATCAGTTCCTTAAAAAGACAAAATAGGCACAAGGAAAGCAACAGAACCAGAAAATTTGAACACAGGGTTCTTCCCAGAGACTCATACCCCAACCAAGTACCATGTGTGGAGATGGCCTAGGGCCCCTGTGCAGATGTGGTCCATGGCAGTTTAGTGTCCAAGTGGGTTACATGGTGATGGGAGGAGGGACTGCTTCTGGCATAGTCTGGTTGGCCTGCTCTTTGATCAACCCCCCCCTGAGGGGAGGGCAGCCTTACCGGGCCCAATGCAGCCCCTCCTGATGTGATCTGGTGGACTGGGATCAGAGGGAAGGGGAGCAGAGCCTTCCCTATTGGTGGACTTGGGGAGGGGCATGCGTGAGGGGGAGGAGGGAGGGTGGAACTGGGACGGGATGAGAGAGGGGCTTATGGGGGGATGCAGGGTGGATAAAGTGTAATTAATAAAAATAAAAAAACTAAAAGACAAAATAGCAATACAAAAAAAAGCCAACACTGCATGAAACCCATTTCCCTTTACTTGGAAGAAAATGAGCAAGATTTTACTGCCTCCAATTGGATGGATTAACCGGTGTAGCCAGCATGCTTGTGTTTCTGTTATCTACCACCTCTCATAAATATTAATTACTTACCCTGAATCAGTATCACCTCATCAGGAAATCCTAAGACTTTCCTTAAGCAGGCTCCATTTTTGGTGATGTCCTAATCACAAATGAGCTTGAATGGACTTGAGTTTTTTTCCTTCTGCCTCAGATGTCTTCCCCAAGCTTCCAATGGAAACAGGAAAACATTTCCCTGTCTCTGGGGTTTTTAGCGATGTTTGGCTGAGAGGCACACCAGAAGAGAGTTAAAAAGGTCATGCTCGATGGGCAAGGTGAAGTAGAATGGTCTCTTTGCTGCATGTGGCTCTCCAGCACTGGAGCACAGCCAAAACTACAGAAGTTTCCCAGAAAGACAAACAGCGAAAGTTCACCAAACACTTGGACTTTAATTTGCTTCTTGAAATTCTGTCTTTCCCTGCCAGAAATTGTCACTCTTTCTCTAACCTCTCAGCCTCTAAATTGCATGCCTTTTCTTGCTGGTGATTTTCTTTCTGAACTCATCACTTCAATTTGATAAATATTTATCAGATTTTATCAGGCAATGCGAGGTACAGGAAACACGGTGGTGAATACAGCAGAGTTCAGGCCTTAATGATCTCCTTATTTCATACTCACAGAGATAAATAGTGGAGATTTAATAGTTAAACCTGGAGATTTAACACAGGTGCCAAGCCATGCTTCAAGTTCTGGCTGCTTAGCTCACCTAAGAAGGGCATTACTCCCTGTAAGGCCTTAAATGAGTTGTTTCATCTCTCTCCCTCAACTCACTTAACTATAAAGTGAACATAATAATGGTACTATATAGCATATATATGCATAAATGTGTCTGTGTTTAATTATAAATTTTTATGTTTAAATAAAATTTAAATATACTAATATATAATTTAAATAAATATAATATATTAAATATATTTACATATATCCTATATATACAAATCGGTAGATAGGTGTATATATCTATGTATTTATATATTTATATATTTATGAGTATAGATTTTTTTGGCTTTTTGAGATAGGGTTTCTCTGTGTAGCCTTGGCTATCACTTTGTAAACAAGGTCACCGCAAACTCACAGAGATGCACCTTCCTCTGCATTGCTGAGTGCTGGGATTACCTCTGTGCACCACCATACCCCGCTGGATTTTTAAATACACATATAAGCCACATATACAAATAAAAGGATAAAAATTTACACACACACACACACACATATATTTATCTGTATATTTTATATGTTGTGTAAAATGTGTCTCTCTGTGTCTATGTATATGTAATGTATAATCACATAATACACATAATATATAATATATGTATAAATACATAACATTCATGTATTTGCATATACACATTGCACGGTATGAATTAAACATTTTACTACACATATAAGTTATATTAGAATAAAAATAAGGAGCACTTAAAAAAATTCTTCTCTCATGCAGTACATCCTAATGGTAGTTTCCCCTCCCTCTACTTCTCCCAGCTGCTCCCCCACTTGCCCTCTTTCCCAGAAACCATTTCTCTTCCATTTCCCTTCAGAAAAGAGCAGGTGTCCCAGGGATATCAAACGAACATGGCATAACATGATGCAATAAGATTACACAAATCCTCCAATCAGGGCTGCTTGAGGCAACTCAGCAGGATGAAAAGGATTCTAAGAGCAAGAAAAAGTCAGAGACATCCCCACTCCCACTGTTAGGAGTCCCACAAAACACCAAGATAACAACCATAGAATATTTGCAGAGGACCTAGCATAGACCTATGCAGGCTCCGTGATTGCTGCTTCGGTCTCTGTGAGCCTATATGAGCCCTGCTTAGTTGATTTGATGGGCCATGTTCTTATGGTATTCTTGAGCCCTCTGACTCCCATAATTCTTTCTCCAAGGGATTCACTGTGAAGAAGCACTTCTTAAATATTAACACCTATTAACTTGTAAATTACCCACGTAAGATGATGGAAATATTAAAGTAATAACAGATGGAATATGAGCTTTAGAATTAGACGAGGCCTACATAGATTCAAATCTTCACCAAAACCTTTTTAAATTTGCATAACGTTTTATGTGAAGTCTTTGGTTCATTTTATCAATGCCCATGAAATTTTGCTTGTTATCATATTCATTAAATACAAGAAAATTAAGTTTTACCCTCTCAAAAACAAGAATTAGAGTTTAGAGAGATTGATTACTGGTTAAGAATATATTGCCTCTGACATAAACTGATTGGCCTGCTCTTTGATCACCTCCCCCTGAGGGGGGAGCAGCCTTACCAGGCCACAGAAGAAGACAATGCAGCCATTCCTGATGTGATCTGATAGACTAAGATCAGAAGGAAGGAGAGGAGGACCTCCCCTATCAGTGGATGTGGGGAGGAGCATGCATGAAGAAAGGGGAGGTAGGGTGGGGTCAGGAAGGGAGGAGGGAGGGGCTTATGAGGGGATACAAAATGAATAAAGTGTAATTAATAATAATGATAATAAAACAAGAAAAAAAAGAATATATACTGGGTTAGCTCTTAGCACCCACACAGAGGCTTCAAATCATAACTTGAATTCCAGGTGATACAATACGTTCTTCTGACTTCCATGGGCACTAGTTATGCATATGGTGCCCAGGCATACATATAGGCAAAACAGACTCATAAAATAAAGGTAATAAAAATTTAATGGTAACAAGGATTATTGCTGGGTATAGCAGGTGCTGGTAATCTCAGTACTCAGGTGGTAGAAGGAAAAGAAGCACAAGCTCAAGGCTATACTAGTCTACTCAGTGTCCATCCAGAGGTAAGTAGAGAAAGCTTATCCAAACAAACAAACAAACAAACAAACAAACAAACAAACAAACAAACCAGTATTGTATTTACTACATATGTGTATAAATATAATGATTTACTTTGTGTTGAAAGTCATATCCATATCATTATATCTATTTCTAACTCCTATCACAGAAGGTCTGTGATAATGAATGGTCAATAATTTAAACATTATCATCACTATCTCTATCCATGTACCATTCTGCTCTTCTTTCTGTAGCATAATAGAGCTGTCTCCAGGAAGGGACTATCCAACTGGGAACTGCACCTTCTTCTTATTTTGGAACACAGAGAGAGACCAACTGATTGATTTTCATAATAAAAAGTGAGTATAAAATATACATATTTCAGTCATTACTTCGTGCTTTTCCTTCTATGGCTAGAAGCAGAACAGTCTGCTATAAGTTGGAGAGATTGGAATCCCTGAGCCCCTTCATGGAGAAAATTTTCTACTAATTGAGAAGACCCATACTATATTCTCATCTGATAAAAAAACTTTTATTGTGTTAAGCTACCAAAATATGGGGACAATTTATTAGAGAAACTAGCATTATCCAAACAAGCAGGATAAATACCAGGGATGAACAATGGGCAGAGAAAAGTTAGAACAAGTCAAAGTCAGCCATCATAAAAGTCCAGTTCCCAGCACTGAGTGTATTTGAAGGAGAGAGAGAAATGGGGTTGCCATTAAAGAGTTTGACAAAAACCTTGAAAAAAGTTAAGATGTAGAGGTAATGTCATAGGTAGAAGCCAGAGGCAAAGGAGACAGTGTCCCATAGAAAGTAGCTTATTTTCTTAAACATATGTGTTGAATCTATAAAGGGGAACAGTGAAAGCCAGAGATAGAGGATAGATAGAAACCAATTTGTGGAGGAACTGAAATGAGAAACAACTGTCTGACTGCATCCCACCAACAATGGGGAACTGATGTCCTTTGCGAAACAGTGAGGGAGATCAAATTTGCGCCTGACTAAGATGTGTTCGTAACTGTTATGAAAGATGGACTCAGGCGCAGAGTAACTGGAGGCTGGGGTGGGAAGTAGACTGATGCATTTAGAAGTGAGGTTGTTAGAATTAGAGCCAGAAAATAGCATCTTTAGCTGGAAATTGAAAATAGCTGGTACCAAATATGGATTCTATTATGTTGATTGATAAAATTTAAAGATATAGAGACCTGAATACAAAATATCTTTGGTTTGTTAGCAGGTTCCTGGGGGGAAGAGGAGGAGGAGCAGGAGGAGGAGGAGGAGGAGGAGGTTAATAGAACTGATAGAGGCAGCAGGAGAATGGAGGAGATGGGGAATATAGTTCTCTTTTGGCTAGTGAGTCCTAGGGATCTGCTTGACCATTCCCGAGCACTGAGTTTATAGGCACATATTTTCTACAACCAGATTTTTCTTATCTATGTCCTGGAAGATCTAACTCAGCTTTGCATGCTTGATTTTACAGACTAAGCTAACACTTCAATCTCATTATCGTATTTTAATAAGCTCCATCATAGTCCCTATTGGTCCATGCTATTAAGAATCACCACCATGAACTTCTCCCTTTTTCCTAGATGCTCCAGTCAGTCCACTGGAAATTTGCTTCTGCCTTTAAAATATGTCCTGAGTCCAGCTACTCCTCATTGTCCACTAATACTGCCTTGGCCTGAGGAATTGCTCTCTTGGGTCAGGTCTCCTCAGGATAGCTGTGATGGTCATCTTCCTGTCTTCCCTGGCTTGATGTTCACTTATGGTTGCATTGTAGCTTGAGTGACTGTCCACACATGAGAGATATCATGACACTCTTCTGCTAAGCCCTGCTATAGCTACTCATATAGTTTGGTAAGGGCAGGAATCCTCCGTGGCTGCACAGCCCTTCTGAAGGTTCTGCCTTTAGGCTTACCCCCTTCCCTATCACTCTTCTCTTTTTCTGTGTCTAGCTCCTGGGCTTCACTACTGATCCTGGATGAAGCAGGCATGGCTCCTTCCTTGTAACCTTGTCTATAGCTATTCACCCACTGTGCAACTTCTCTGCCTCCATGTCTACATGGCCAACCACCCTCACATCTGCCTTAGTATCTTAGCTGCTTATAGGCGGCTTCCTCAGTGGGTTCTATGCCTGATAACTGTGCATTAGTGCTATTCTGTATCCAAAATTCCACTGTCCAGGATCCTCCAGACCCATTTTTCTGCTACACACCTTCTTTCTCCCCTTAGCACTCAACACGCTAGCACAACATGTAATTTGCTTGTCATGATTTTTGTCCAATCCCCCTCAAAAACTCGACTCTCAATCCACTGGTGACTTTGAGGAGAGGGCTTTGACTCCCTATTGCCTTAAATCTTTGAGAAGTGCCGGATAGTTAATACATTAACAAAACGGTCTCCTATTTCAAGGCTATCTTTGTTTGGGTTTTGTTTTCAGATAGGGCCTTGCTATAGTACCCAGGTGCCTCCAGTTCAGGGTCCTCTTCTGACCTCCTGCTGGGTAGGATTGCAGGTGTGCACACACCAAATCTAGCTCAAGGCTATATTCTTAATTACTAAATTACGCAGCCAAAGAAGTGAGAGATTAAGTAAATGAGTGAGTGGAATGAATGATGCTTCTAATAGTTTTGAAGTTCGAGGGGGGCTGGGTTGTCTCTGTATCACGTGGGTCCGCCTAAAATAGAACAGGTGCATCCTAGAATTAAATTACATCCTTCAGTCACCAAAGCTAGGCCCCTGCTACCACATAAAACACTTCCCTCTGATTTTTGGCCCATAGTGACCACAATTGCTTCTCTTAGCCAAAAAAGCCCTTTGTCTCTTGGCTGAGGTTCAAATCCCACTGCTTTCAGCGAGACCAGGCAACAAAAAGGAGCTTCAGTGAGCAGGACAACAGTCACTTTCTTCCTCACGAGTCTTCCCAGGCTGCTTAGCCTTCCCCATGCTCCCATTTTTAAAACCTTTTTACTTTATTTGCTTTGCAGGAGTCTAGCTGGCAGCCCAAAGAGGTCACTGTGGCCTGACAGTCTGAGAACAGCAGCGCTTCCTGGGGGAAACAGTCCTCTTTTTCCTGCCTTAAAAAAAAAAAAAAAAAAAAGATATGCCAGAGCTCAGATGTTAGGGCAAAGTTGAGGAAAGCAGCTCTCTGTTGCGTGGAAAATAACAGCATAACAGCAAACCTGTCTGCGGTAAATTATGTGTGAGGACAAAGCCTGCTACCTCCCCCAGTGTACCCCACCCGGCCTCCATCCATCCTTATGCTGGGACCCTTCAGAAATAGCAAGCTGTGCATCAGAGACCTGCAGTTCGATCTTGACCCAGAAGAGCTGTGTCCCCTTAAGCAAGTCTCCTGGCTTTTTGTTTGAATTTCTTGATATTATCTGTAACATTACATTAAATCCTTTCCTTCATACTGGTATGAGAAATAAAAAAACATACTTTGTCAGCTTTGTGAAGTATTTTTTGGTTGTTAAATTTTATGTTAAAAAAAGACATAAAATTTTATGTTAAAAAAATCTCAGTACTATGTAAGCGCTTGTGTAAGTACTATGTAAGTGCATGTGCATGGTATGAGGGTGCTGGGGCACTCACCCATGCATGCGCGTGCACACACATACACACGCACAATGCATGCAGAAACAGGTAAGATCTGAGTAAAGGCTGTAGTAAAAACTGACTGTATTGGAAAAAGCAGAAAAAAGATAGACACAGAAATAAAACACAAATCTATGAGGAAATGGTCTCACGTGATTATGCAGAGAAATACCATAATAATCTATTTGAAAGCTAGAGACCAGCTGGTGCTGTTAGCTTGGCTTCAGATCAGTCCAAATACCTTTGAACCAGGAAAGCTGGTGGTGCAGTTCTGTCAGTGGACAAAGGCCTTACAACCCAGAGACCTCAGGCTCTAGAGTCCAGAGGCCAGAGATCCTGGAGAGCTGTTGTCCAAAGATGAGAAGAGCGTCCAGCTCTAGAAGGCAGGGGAGACAGAGAAAGGCAGGCAGAGAGACACAGAGAGAGACGGAGACAGAAAGACTGTGAGAAGAAGAGGGGAGCATCTTATTTTAGTTAGTTTTTATAATTTATTCACTTTACAAGCAGATTGTAACCCCCTCCCTCATCTCCTCCTGGTCCCACCCTCTCCCTCTCTTCTCTCTATCCCCCTCCCTTAGTCCTCAGGGAGTGGGAGCCCTCCTACCCTACCATGTGACCCCAGCCTATCAAGTCTCATTAGGACTACCTTCATCTTCTTCCTCTGTGGCCTGGCTAGACCATCCTGCCAGTGGGAAGTAATCAAAGAGGGGGCATCAGAGTCCATGTCAGAGACAGCCACTGCTCCCCTTACTCCCTTAGGGAAAACACATTGAGACTGAGCTGCCTAAGGGCTACATCTAAGCAGGGAGTCTAGGTCCTCTCCATGCATGGTTCTTGCTTGGTGTATCAGTCTCTGCAGGAATCCCTTGGGCCCAGATTTGTGTCCCCTTTAGGTACTTCTATTCCCCCACTCTTCCATAAGAACCCCTGTGCACTGCCCAAAGTTTGGCTATGAGTGTTAGCATCTACTTTAATCCCCTGCTTGGTGGAGTCTTTCAGAGGACATCTATGGTAGGCTCCTACTCTGTTCCCTCTCTTTGACAGCTTCAGGTGTCTATTGTATTTGCCCTTCTGAATGAGAATTAAGCATCCTCCCTAGGGTCTTCCTTGTTATTTAGCTTCTTTAGGTCTGTGGATTGTGGTATGGTTTTCCTGTATTATATAGTAATCAGATATTAACCATATAATTCAGAGGGGAGAATCTTATGTCCCATTCAGACCCCAGCTAACTGGAGAGTGCCCAGGTATCCACCCACTGACACCAAGGGAGGATTCCTGCCCTCCTCTTTCTACTGACTCTCAGTGCCAATCGTGTCTACAAACACTCCCACAAATACACTTTACTAGCATTCTAGCTAACTCTTTTTTATATTCATTTATTTTATAATTTATTCATTATATATCAACTCACTACCATACAAACCATGGCCCTGGTTCTGGCGATGTGCTGTGGGTGTGTAGGATGTTATCACCAGGGGAAGCTGGATGAAGACTGCCTAGGTACTCTGCCTTGTTAGCAATATCTCCTCTTTCTGAAGTTAGTTCAAAATACATGTTAGAAAAGTATATAGGCTTGTTTGTTCCTCCTATAGTACCTTCTACATATGTCTTTGGGAAGTGTAACCCATAACCATTGGATCTATTTCTCTTAAGGATCTGGTGCTTGTTGAGGGCAGTTACCCTTTGTCCTTGCTTGCTTCTTGGGCCCAGTGCTTTGCTGGTGTTTACAAATGTTTGTTGATTCTTTCTGCTGAAAATATCAAAACAGGCAGATTTCTTTTCTCAGATTTTCTAGGACCATCTGTGAATATCTTACAACAAAATTCACATTCTTAAAATTCTATTTTATGCCAAACATTTTCATATACAATTCTCTTAGTTAAGCCTCATAGAAATTTTATGAGGGACAAACCAAAATTTCCCACTTTTGGTATGAGAAAGATGAGTGATAGAAGCCTTGATCTGTATACTCAAGACATGAAGGTCATGGATAGCTGGAATTTAAGCTAGGACTTAAGACAATTTAAATTTTCATTTATCAAGTACTATTTGTCAGGGCCTGTTCTTAGAGCGTAGGACAGAGATGTTCCTGCCAGTAATGAAATAAATATAGGTGATTTTTTTAAAAAAAAGGCCTAACACCACCACCAACAATAATAAATAATAAAGTAGCAAATGGAATGTGTGAGGCAGAATTCGTGGAAAATAATAAGTTTGCAGGGTTCAAAGAAGCAGGGTACAAAGAAGCAGTATTCTTTAGAAAAAGAATATTGCAGGAACAGGGGCATCCAGGGAAAGGGTCCTATATCAAGCACATGATGAATATAAGTGGACCGTCCAGGCCATTGGTATGACTGCAATGGTCAACACATTTAGCCGGAGGCCCAGAGAGGACACTGGGAGAACCTTGTGGGGACTTTGGCCTTCTCCTGAGTACTGCCAGAAAGGTGGCAGGATTTCGAGCAGAGGGATGGTATGTGCTGACTCATGCTGTAAATGGTTCTGTTTAGAGGAGAGTAGGCTGAAAGCAGGGTAAAGGTCAAAAGCAGCTGAAAATCAGCAGCAGCATTGCAGGAAGGAGAGAGAGGCTGGCTACCTAGACTTTGGAATGGTATCAGGGAAACTTCCTGTTTCATGACATCTCATCTAGATCTATCTCTCTGACTCCTACTTTGAGTGCTACAGACCCTCTGATACGTGGTTCCTCATTTGCAATGACCTTTTCTTTCTCCCTCTCCCAGGCTGGCTCATAACATATTTCTCTCTCCAGATACTTTACATATCCACCCCACACTTAAGAACTTCCTACCTCCTGCCCCTTCTATGGTCTCTGTTGTGTTCAAACTGGGCCCTTAGAAATCTTACAGTTCTCTTGTGCCTGCCTGTCCAGCCTAGTGTTGTTATATTCCTAAACACCTCTTTTTCCTAATACGTTATAGGGCATGAGACCAAAGGTCTGGGTGTACTAGCAAATGTATGAATTTTGGAATAAAATAAGTCTCCCTCATAACCACTCCAAAGTCAAGAGGGTGATAAAAATGACTCCTGGTGTCCTTGTCTGCTAACTGGTCTGAACTAATGATTGTGTTAAGGGATTGTCATATAGTTCAGCAAAACCAGATGCAAGAATTTGTGTTAGAGCCAGAGAAGGTGCTAGAGCAGGGTTGGTAAGGAAGTATGCTCAGTGCACACTTTCATGCCCAGCTCTCTCGTAGTGTACTGTATATTATGGAATCCTTCTACAGATACTAGCATTTCTGTTTTACAGATTAAGGAACAAAGAATATAACAGCCTGCTCTGTCTGTCTCCTAGCTAAGCCCCAAAGATGAAGAATGCTTGACATCTGGAGAAGACAATTTGATTCAAGAAGACAAATGAGATTCCCCATTTAAAATAATAATAATAATATAAAACAATAAAAAGAAAGAGTTGTTTTTAGGCCTAGTGAGTTGGTGAGTCAAAGGGCAATGTCTCCACAGTATCCATCAGTGCCAAGCTATAAGGTGGGCCCATCTCATATGGGCTTTCCCACAGCCTATGCTGGGAGCTTCCCCTTGGCCCACACAGGGAAGGGGTGTGTAAATACTTTCCCATGACAGGCAAGTACAGCTAAGCATGTGGCTCAGGGCTGGGAAGAGATTTACAGAAACCTGGCAATGGAATGGCCCAGTCCAGCCAGAAGTGGCATGCTAAGACAAGAGCCCCATCCAGGGATGAAACAGCCAGTTTTCTTGGGCTCTTAAGGAGATACAGGGTGCATGAGCTGCAAGCTCCTGACTGGGTGCAAACGGCATTAATCAGGTACCTTATTCCTACCTGCAAGGATAAGGCAGGAGGCCATTAGTGGCTTGCTTGAACTCCGTTAGCATTTTACACACTCTCACTTATTTTACCCAGACAGGATGTTTGTTTGTTTGCCAGAATCTAGAGAGGAGGTCAGAGAAAACTGGCTTTTTAAAGCTGAGCCTCTTTTGTACTCAGTCTATTATAAGAACTTTCTACAAGATAGTATAGGGGAACCTATGTTGGCTAATTTTATGTACAACCTTGATGAGACTGTAGAGATCAATTATTTAGGCAAATAGCCTTTTAGGTGTTTCAGTAAACCTATATTTGTAAAAAAAACATATATTTACAATGCATACACACATACATATATATATATATACATTTATACATATATGTATACATATGTATACATATATGTATATACATATGTGCACACATACATACATATATGGTCAGTTTATTTGAAAAGCAGCAGGTGTAATGTGCTATGTAATGTTATGGGAAAGCCTTAGCTAATCACCTAAATCCTTTAATAGCAATGGTTAATGTTTCCTGTGAGGGAATTCTGCCTTCAGACAGCAACTTAGAAGTCCTACCTGAGCTTTCATCCTTCAGACTGAAGCTGCAGAATCACCTCTTACTAGACTTTCCATCCTGCCTGCTGACCATAGATTTTGAACTCAATAGCTTCCCACACTGGTGTGAATCAATTGCTTAAATCCATCTTCCCCGTATATATGTGTAAATATGTATACATGGATATCCACGCTTGGACCATTGAGACAGTCTGGAGACTGTGAAAGCTTTCTCTCAGGACTCCTCATATGCACAAATCATAAACACTGGACTTGTACTTGAAGACAACATGAAGTACTAAGTCAGGAAGAAGGATGAGGTTGGAGGATGAGGCCACACTTTGTACTCATGAGCTGCACCTCTGTGGCTGTGGTTCCAGAAAGCAATTCTGTCTGCATCTCTGCTTCTGGTTCTTCCTCTGACTCCTGGCTGAGATGATGGACCCCTGATGTGTTGTGTTGTT